GAGCTGTTCCAGTACACCGCATGCCGGTTTCCCAGCGCCCCCCCGGGCCCCTGGGCCAGCAGCGGCAGCAGCGGCACGGGCACAAGCAGCAGCAGCAGCAGCAGCGGAGCCGCCGCCATCCCCGGAGCCGCCGCCGCCGCCGCCCCCCGACTGAGCCCCGCGCTCCCGGCTTCTTGCTTCCCAGCTCCCTGCTGCCGCCGCCGCCGGCCCCCGAGCCTTAGGCCACGCCCCCTGCCCGTTCCTCCGCCTTCCCGGGCGCGCCCCCGAAGCCCCGCCCCTGGCGCGCTCCCGCCAGGCTCCGCCCCGCTGGGGCTCGGAGCGCGCGTGGCGCGTGGGAGGTGAGGACCGTGCTGCCCCCTCAGGAACAACCCTAACGCTCCTCGCCTCTCCCTCTTAGGTTTAATTTGCTGTTGCCCGTCCTGGGCCTTCTGCTCCCTAGTCGAGTTCCCACGAGAAGGATTAGGGAGGCCAAGACAGGGATCTGAATCTCCTGTGAACATTCATTTCTGGGATGGAGTGAAGGAGACTTGAAAAGAAGCTGGGGGTCCAGGACCCCTTAATAAGTAGAACTAGACCCCATCCTTTCTGAACAATCTGGTCCTCTGCTCCCTCTGAGCCCCTTTTCCCATGTGCCTGAGGAGACAGGTGGGTGCTAGAGGGTGGCCAGAGGAACCCTCAGCTGGCACTAAGGACCTGACAGCTGTTGACCTGAAGCCCCCAGCTGAGCTTGAAGCTTGTTTTTCTTGGAGGTAGCGTGGAGAAGCTCAGCTCCCAAGAATGTCAGTACTGGTTGCTGGAAGGGCCTTTGGCAGTCCACAGCCCAAGGCAGAGGAGGGACTAAGGAGAGAGTCAGCTAGAGCAAAACAGGCTTTCCTTGGACATCTACAAAGGATTCTTGACTCACACTCAACCAGGGCCCCCTCCCAGCTCAGCCAATGGTGTCCCCAGGCATTCTCACTCCTACTCTCACAGACGCTGACAGGAGGGCAGAGGGCAGAGCACCTTGGGTTCCAGCTCTCCTCATAGTCATTGTTTTCACAGTGACATCCAAACCCAGACATTACACACACATTCAAGAGAAAAGGCACAGACACCTACAGGCAGAGAACGTAGAAATGAAGGCATCTGACACAGACATACAGACACACAGATAACCCCTCAGAGAAACACATAGGTAAAGGTACTATCAGGCAACTAGAGATCTAGAAACACAGGGATTAGGTGCACAGAGACATAGATACACACACCCAGACACATACACGCACACAGTGGCTCACACACAAACCCACTGCACCCTTTGACACACTCACACTCAGCTCTGCTTTCTCCTCTTCTCTCTTTTCCTATGAAGTTGAAGTTGAGGGAAAGGGTCTAGAATCCTGACCTAGGGAGTGTCCACTACTCATCCCCTTTTATGGAAAGGCTCAGGCTAAGAGTGACCAGGAGGACCAGGTCTCATACCAGACTCCCAATCCAACCACCTGTGCCCAGGGTGACAGGTGTGATGTTCTTTTCTTCTTACTGCAGGAGAGAGGACATGGAGGCACCCTTTATCTGCTTATTGTTGGCAAGACAGTGGTCCTGACCACAAGTTAGCCTCAACTGCTGGATTTAGGGGAGGGGCAGCGCCATCCAGAATCGGCCCCGTGCCTAGCTACTGCCAGGCAAGAGCAGGTTCTGTCCTCCCTGGACCCCTCTCCATCCCAGGAGATCTCCTCTCCCTTCTCAGGAGCCAGAAAATAAATTAGGTCCCTTGGGGTGGGAATGGGGGACACTGCAAACAGCTCTCCTTCCCCTGAGGCTCCTCATCCCCAGGGAGATTTGTTTCACCCAAATGATGCTGACCTGCCTACTCCAGGTGCTACAAATCCCAGCCTCCTCCTCGCCTACCCACATCCCTGCTCTGCAAATGGACGCTTCTCTGTAGGGCCCATGGTTGGCAGAGAGGCTGCCCATATTCATACGGAGTGGGAGCTTGCTGGTTTGGTCTAGGACTTTAAATTCCATTTTAGAAGACCTGAGTATGGAATCTAGGTCCTACTTAAGGATTTGAGACCTTTTATATAGGGCTCAGATACTCCTCCTTAGAATCTAGCTCTCCCAGCCCCCAGCCCCCAATAATAACTGAGCCCTTTCTAGAATCTGGAGCCCTCTCTATAGGATTTATTTTTCCTATAGTATTTAAACAACTCTCTCTATGGAGTCTAAGCCACTGATTTTTAAGTTCTGAAACACCCTCTATAGGGCCCAAGCCTCTGTCCTTGGGATCTGGTGCTCTACTGGGGCCTCTATCTAAATCAGCTACTGGCTGACTTTGGCTTTTGTGTGAATCAGAAAAGCCACCTCTATATGCAGACCCAGTCTTAGGGTGCATCTCTTGGCTAGTGGTGCCTTTGTGCAAAGTCAAAGGTATAACTTTCTTCAGTGGGAGGTGGCCCTATGTGTCTCCCCATCTTAGTAAGGGAGCTTGGCTGATGGCCCCTACTACTCCTTGGGTGGCTCCTTTGCACAAACAGCACAACTGTATGTGGCAGTTCTGAATATAGGGTGTGTGCTTCCAGCTCTCACGGTTAGGCCTGTCAGGAGGCCTCAGTTCACGGGGTCTGGGCTTCTCTAGGGTTTAGGTCTCTGTATATAAGATCTGGGCCACTGTCCATATGCCTGGGACCTGATCTGAAGCCTGGGCCTCTTTCTGTGGCATCTGGGTCATGGAAGGTCTCAGGTCTTCATCAATGGGATCTAGGCCTTTGTTTATAATTGTAACTCAAATCTTATATGTGACCCGCAAGGTGTATATTTTGCATTTGCAATACAGTATACACACACATACATACATTAACATATGACTGAAATAATAAGTATCATGAAGCAATACTCTTCCTTATTGCAGAGGATGCACTGTGATATTTTTCCTCTATTCTAGTCTTAATTTATTTTTAAATAAAATGAAAAGCTTGTTAAGACCCAGAAAATTGATTCCTTGATTTTATCAACCTTAATGGCTCACAATCTATAGTTTGAAACACTGGTATCTAAGGCCTGGGCCAGGACTGGCACCTCTCTGTAGGGTGAGGGCCTCTGTGGAGGCTGGGGTTCTCTCTGTGGGGCTGATCCTCTCTCTCCTGGGCCTCAGGCCCCTTTTCTTCTCTCCTGCAGCCCTGTCTACATTTCCATCCGACCCCAGGCTTGCCAGTACACTGCTGGCTGCTATGTTCTCTCCAGGGGCACTGAACTCAGGCCCCTGGGAGTTCTCTGAACGCAGTGCCTTACCCGGCCCCTGTCCCCCTGGGGCCAAGGAAGCTGGGAGCTGAACGGGTTGGGACAGAGGGAATACTCAGGCTGTGTGGCCCATGGGGCTCTGGGGAAATCGGGTGGCAACCACAGAGCTGAGCTGTGTTCAATAAATCATGGAGGCTAGGGCCTGGGGGAGGGGGAGGCCAGGGGGGAAGGCGGGGGCCATGGATAAATAATTCATTAAACAAATAAACAAGGAGCCTGTGAGAGGGAGGATCGGGCACGTGTGTGAGCGGGAGAGGCAGCCGCCAGCTCCAGACATGAAATATTCACAGGTTCCGCACGTTGCCCAGGGCCCTTGTGTGTGCCCCAGAGCAGGCAGCCTGTTGGTGTGGTCCTAACAGAGAAACCTGGGTGCCAACACGGAAGGCGGTGCACTTGTCTTCTGACGTCCAAGTGTGATGTGTGTGTCAGCATGGCTACCTGGTGCTCTAATGTCCATGAGTTGACATGGAACCACACACGTGACGGACAGCAGGGAGCACGGGGCACTAATGTGTGGTCCAGGACACAGGAAATTAGGATGCAGGGCTTGGTGGGTGAGGTCGGGGTGTAACAATCTCTGATTCTAGTCATGCCCTGATCCCTCAGATGAGTCCTGAAATGGAGAGGCATCTCTAGGGTGTTGCACTGGAGGTGTGTGTATGTGCCTCCTCTGAATGAGCTTCAAGAAAATCTAAGAGGAAGGCAGTAGGGTTTAGCAGTTAACAGGATGGGCTAGGGTTCCAATTCCATTTCTGCCATTCACAGACTGTGCTAGTCACTTCACTTCTTTGAGACTGCTGTCTCATCTGGAAAACGGGATAATAATACCCTACCTCGAAGAATTGGTTGTGATGAGGATTAAGACCCACGTCTGGGAAGCACTTAGCACAGTGTTTAGGACTTATGAGGTGCTTGATGGATGGAGGTCTCCTCCTCATCATTATCTGAGGTCTGCCCACCTAGACTAGCTCCAGACTCTATTTTCCATTTGTTCTCTCTCATCTCCAAGCCTCTCTAACAGCCATCATAGTGGGAGAGGTGACCTTGGGCTTGGGGAATAGGGATGGGATAGGAAAAGATTAGATGGTATAAGGGGGAGGGGAAGTTACAGCCAAAAATTTCACATCCTTGACAGTTTGAAAGGAGGTGTCTGTGACCTTCTCATCAACCCCCAGAGCCTCTCCCCTAAAACTCTCCCCAGATCCACATTCTCTTCTCTTTCCTGCCACCAAAATTTAGCTTTCCAGTAAGCAGCTACAAGGAAACCCCAGGAGGAATTGGGGTAGAGGTCTCTGAGTAGCATCACAATCTCTTCACCCCACCTCTTCCCACACTAGTCTTCAGTGCCAGAGCTCTAGCCCCTACCGTCTGCCTGTCAGTTGAGGGCTTCCCTGGCAAAGATGGCTATGTCTGGGCAAAACCCAGAGAAGTGGCACCCCAGAGTGGGTGGGGAGAATCCAGGCTGGAGAGAGCTGTGGAGGGCCAGGGTGGAGTTCCTGGGGCCTCCCAGTAGGCCCCAGCATTCCCCAGCCCTCTCGTGTCCCCTGGAAAGGATCCGCTCCCAGTGGGAGAGAGCCAGCAGACAGGTCTGAGCCGGCCGGCTCCTCCACAGACAGAAGAACAGGCTGGGGGAGGGGGCCTGAGATCTTGGTGGGGAGTGGTGGCTGTAACCTCCACATCTCCGATGGGGAGCCAGGGGCAGAGGGGACTACGGCCTGGGCACACCCTACCATAACCTAGGGCCCAGCCCTTGCCTCCTTTGACCAGCCTGCTGCTACTTGGGGCATCAAGGTCTGGGCCCCCAGGTGTGAAGATGGTGCCTGCCCACCGCTTCCCAAAGAGCCAACATCAGTTTTCTTCTTCCCCTCCCCTGGGCTGGGCAGGTTCGGGCTAATCTGTGCCAGAGCTTCACAGCAAACATTGATCTGTAATAAAACCACAACGTGTGTTCGGGAGAAGGGATTCCAGATACAGAGAAATCCAGACAACTCACATGTACACTCACACACGTCCACACAGATGCAAAACATACAGTTCTGGGAGGGCAGACACCAGCAGTCCTGAAAACACCGCTGAACATGGGCTCGCACTTAGTCAAACACACAAGCATTATTAGTTCTACAAATCCCCTCCACTCCATAAATTTTGTCCTTCAAAACTCAAGCTTTCTCTGACAGTCCATTTCCCTTGTTCCTACAGCACTTTCTGCATAGCCCTATAACTGCATTTGCACTTGGCATCATAATTATTTGTTGGCCAGTTTGTCTTCTGGAGTAATGTGAAGAATCCTTAAGGGAAGGGGTCCTGTCTTGTGCAAGTGTGTATCCTCAGCATCTAGCATGCAGCCTGGTAGTTAGTCAGTAGGAATAGGTGAAGTACTTAATAAATAATTCTTGAATTGATGAACAGAAGAATAAATGCATTCTGACAGTGGGACACCCATACCTAGAATCTCTCAGAAGCACACAGAGCAAAACCAGCACATGTTACTCATGCCTCTGGCCCCACCTTCTTGTCTCCAGGTCCCCTGACCTTACTGCTTCTTGGCTTCCTCAAAGGCCCTCCTTTCTCCCTCTTCACTCAGTGTGAGACCATAAATTTGAGTACCACCTGAGGGCTAGCAGGCAAGGTAAGGGTTAATGACACCTCATTAGTGCTTAATTGGAGGAAGGAAGCTGCCCTGGCACCAGACAGGTGGGCAGGCCTGCCTCTCACTGGAAGCAAGCATCCCTTGTTCCAGCACCCTGCTGGGCACGTGGGTGATTTGGGGCTGGAGACCCTCAACCCAGCCTGGGGCACCTCCCCCTACCATTTGCTTTGCCAATTTAGTCTCCAGGCAGTACAGACCAGCTCTCCCCATCTGTCGCAGAACATCCAGAGGAAGAGGCAGACTCCTTATCCTTTCTCCTTTAGTTAGTCTGTGCCCCTCCCACCCCTGGACAGACTGGAGTCTGGGAGGAGAGGTGGGGTAAGGAACTGGATGACTGAGAGGTAAATTAGAGAGCCACTAAGGGATAGATTTGGGATACAGACAAGCGACAGAGCTGGGGGATGTGGAGATGTCTGCCCAATTTGACCTTAAACGAAGAGAATGCAAATGAGATGCAGACGATATGCAGATGAACGCGAGGATCTCAGAATTAACATTCTGGGTGGCGACAGCTCTGCACTCAGGACCCCAACGCTGTTGCCAATACTCCCCTCCTAAGCTTCCTGGGTTAAGTGGCACTGACCGTTGCTTTGAGTAAGAAAAAGGATCTCAAGAAAAATGAGTGCTTGGTTGGGCTAGGACTGCGGGACCTGGGAAACAGAGCCCCACCGCCGCGTCCCCGCCCCCATCCCAAGCACCACCCAAGCTGCCTTTGAAGCACTAGCAAAGACCACTCTCCAGGTTACGCTCGGACGCACCGTCGGTTGCTATGGGGACCCCCTCCTCGTCCAGGCCTGAACCAATGGGCATCACCGCTGATGACCTCATGCCCCAGGCCCCGGGATTCTATTGGTTATTTGGAACTCAGCGTGCCCTTCTCCAACTGCGTCACCGCTGGGGATCCCCCGACGACCCCAGCTGGTGTGGCGAACTGAAAAGAAGGACGCGCTGGGAGCTCACAATTTGCTGAATGAATGAATAAGGAAAGGAAGGAAGGAATTAATGAAAGGGCAGAAGGAAAAAGGGAGGGGTTACATAAAAAGACCAAAACTTCAGAGTTTAGCCTCTAGGGAAATATTTGCAACCCCAGAGAGTGTGGAGCAGGATGCAGGTCGGAGACTCAGGCTCTCAGGTTTTCGAGAGACACGGCGAGACAGAGTGATGCAAAGATGAGGGGAGTTTTCAGATGGTTTGGGAGAGACTAGGACAGGCCCAGCAAATTGAGGGCCCCACCCACGGCCATCTAGCGCCGCTGAGTTTAGGGGAGATCGGTGACGCCCCAAAACTTGCAGATCTGCCTAGCCTCCTGGAACCGCGCCCCGGAACACGCCTCGAGGACTTCTCATGGGTAGGGCTCAGTCCCGGAAGGCCGCCCAGCGCCTTTGGCCCATCTAGGCCCCATGAGCGGGCTTAGCTCTCGCTTTTCTTGCCGACGCGCCCCAGGACTGAATCAGTTGTCCGCGCAGGGCCCAGGTTGTGAGGAAAATGAGTGTAGGGAAGCGCTGGCTTGGCTCGAGGCCTGCGGCCAGCGGTCCTGAGTTTGCGACCCCCCCCTAAACCCCCCAGGTGTCCGCTCTCACATCTGCAGGGAGTTGGGCGGCTGGCAAGGGCATGTGTCTGTGTCAAGTGTGCCTGTCTGCCTGGGAGTGAGGGCGTGTGTCTGAGTGCGGGGGAAAGCTGACTGGGCCCCGCGTTTCTTCCGCACATGCGTTCTTATCAGCGGCGGATCCGCGCACCTGCCACAGACGCAGGAGCGAGCGCGCCCCGGCTTGGGGCTGTTCTGAGCACGGTGAGACCCCCACAATCCTCAGTGCAGTTCAGGGGCTTTAACCAGTCGTCCCTGGCCTGCCCTGCCTTTGGTTTCACTGAAGAGGGGAGGAGGAGGCAGTGCAGTGGTTTTCTAGCGCGACATATAGACAACCTCCTGGATGACAGTAGAGACTGAACTCGAACTCAAGATCAGAAGACTGAGCCTACAGCTCATCCTTCAGCTCAGACACCACTCCGCACCCCAGCCTCTGGCCCCCACTAAAGATCGTGTTTTGGGATGAAGGCCCTGATACATGAATACGCAGGCACATGCACCTACCGACGTGGCATTGTATGAAACTGGCCTCGAATGGGGGAAGGATCGACTCGTGTCTGTTCTATCCGCGGTGCTGTCCTCCACCCTAGACCTCAGCCAGAGCAATGGAACTAACCCAGAGGGACCAGGGTCCGACCTAGGTGTGCAAGGAGGTGGGGCAGGGATTCGCAGTCTCCAGCATTTCGGTCTGGTCTGTCAGTCTCTGGACCTCCAGCACCCTCCGCAACCCCCCAACCCCCACCCCGCGCGTTCACACGCCGCTTCTTGCCGCCGCAGCCCGGCCGAGCTAATCAGCACAACATCCACCTATCGATCGCTGGCTCAGTGCCAGGCGGGCCGGCTCCGTGCCAGTGGAGGCTGTGGGGCACTCGGGCGGGTACAGCATAGCTGCGGGGGAAGGGCCATCCCTTCCCTGGCTCCACCCAGGGCACCTTTCAGAAAGAGGGCCCCGGTTAGGCTTGGGGGGTACCATAGCCTTGCCTGCCAGAGGTGGAAGAAGACAGCGCGGGGCTGAGAGCAAAGTGGGCCCTCCCTCCTCGGCCCCACCCCCTCCTCCTTATAAACGCGAAGAACAAAGAGGCCACTGGGGAAGGAGGCTTTGATCTGACCCCACCTTCCCAGTTCTAGGCCAGGCACCGCCCAGACTGCCCTTGGGGGGCGGGGAGGAGGGGACACCCAACTCTCAGGGACCCAGGCATTCTGAAACCCAGGTGCTGTCTCTCTACTGGCCCTTGCTTTTGCCCCAATGCCCTGCTTGGTGCTACCACAACTTGGGCAGTGCCCCAGGAAGGTGGGCTGTCAGGAACACCTGCCCCCTCCTCAGCACAGGAAGCCAGCTAGGGAGGTGGGAGAGGGTGCCAAGCTCCACAGCTGCTGCTGGCACCCACCCCACACTACCCAGAGGGGTGCCCACGGAGGCCTGGCATGGATGGCCTGGGCACAGCTGGCACGGAGGTAAGGCCAAGCCAAGCTGCAAGCAGAGACCACAGGGAGTCCCAGTGTCAGGGCAGGAGGCAGAGGGCGATGGGTTGGGGAGAGCAACAAAAATATGGGTGGTTTATTGAAGGTTTGGTCCAGACACTTACAAAAATACAAATTGGCATGAAATTCAACCTCATGGCAAGTCCGTCTTCACAGAAGACAAGTAGGTGACCCCCTGGGGAGGAAAGGTGCTGTCCCAGGGAAGAGGCCCACGGGGTACTGGGCACAGATGGCAGGCCTGGGCTGCTTCCTTGCCCTGGTCCAGCAATCTACCTGTCCCCAGGTCGTTGGCCTTGGCCCCCAGCAGGCTCAAGGATCTGATCCACCGCATCCCAGTCTTCCTGGGGGATGGGATGAGAACATCAAAGCAGCTGACAGAGACCCTATGTTTGTCTCGCCTCTGCTCCAGGGTGCCCAGGGCTGTCTGCAGCTCCCCTGCTGCTCCTCCAGCCTGATGAGGAGGCCAGCACCTAGAAGGGTCACTTCAGACCCTCTGACCTCCCCCATCACTCTTCCATCTTGTCTGTCTGTCTTGGCACTCCCAGCTCAGGTAGGTGGCAGGGGCCCTCTTCCAGGGAAGTCTTGGGAGGGCTCTGGTTCCTGGGGGTGGCAGGAATGGTCCACTTGGCTCAGAGAACTCTCAGGAGACGTAGAATTGGGAGCAGCAGCAGCAGCAAGAGACAGAGCGGGCTGGGAGTGGCACCCCCTTGCCACCCTGATGTGCCACTCTCTCCAGGGCTCCCAACAGGATGGGCTGACTCAGGCTCTGTGAGGGGGAAGAGGTAGCATTGATGGGTCCTCCTGTTTCAGCAGCCCCTTCCCGCTCTCCCCATTAGCTGTGCACTCCCATCACTTTCTTCAGGGTCTCCAGAACTAGCCAATCCCCTCTCATAAGCTACCACCTCATCTTCTCTAAGCCTCAACTTCCAAGTCTCCCTCCAGTTACCATTAGAGACCACTGGTTCAGCTAAGGCCTTGAAGGGCCTTGACCCTGGAAATGCCATTCCCTTGGCCCAGCATAGAAGGTTGAAGTGGAAGCTCCCACAGGCTAAATGGGGCAGAGGAGGCCCCTCAGAGTTTGAGGTTCCCAGATGCTTCCCACCCTCCCCTCATTCCCGAGGGCCCCACACTAGCCAGATGGGTGGCTCCCATGCCCCAACCCACTCACTGTCCTCCTTGCAGCAGACAGACACCTGGAGCCTCAAGCACTGGCCAGGACTCTCCGGAGTTGGCACTGCTGGGTGGTGGGAAATCGGGAGGAAGAAGTCAGCACAGGCCAGTCTGCATGCCTCAGTCTCTGTTTCAAACTCTCTCAGCTTCTCTTCTCTCCAATTCTCTGGAAAGCTTTTCCTTATCTGGGGGCCATACCCAGGTGCCAGGCCCCACCTGTGACCCTACTCAGGTCCCCATTCCTAGCACCTCCTCCTTTCCCCTCCTCTCTGTGGGCTCACTCGAGATGTCCCCTAGCTGGGTCCTGGACTCAGGCCCCCTCCCCCTCCCTGGCCTGGCCTCTTTCCCCACCTCAGGCTCTCTGTCTTGACTGGTGACAGTGGCAGGTCACCCCACTCCTCTCCCCACCTTCTCCCAAGAGGCAGCCAGTGTGCCCTTCCTCACTCACAGATGTAGTAGTAGGTCTCTCCAGGCAAGAACTCGAAGCCAAGGGAGAAGGGTGTGAAGCGCTGAATCTTCTCTGAGAATCGAACAGGGCCAAAGGGAGCAAAGGGGAGGGAGCACTCCCAGCGCTTGAAAGCACCCGGCCCCTCAGCCCGGCAGGCCTCATAGCCTGGCCGGTCCACCATGTATAAAGCAAACGTCTCAGGGCCCTCAGGGGGCCCTGGACTCTCATAGTGAGGACAGAAGATGTCTAGGTAATCCTTGAGGCCCAGCTCCACCACGGCGTCTCCTCGAAGCAGCCTGCAGGCATAAGGTAGGTGAAGGCAGAGAGGCTTATAACACCGCACACCTGGGGCATGAGGGTCAGAGATACCCCTTCCCAATGGTCCCTGCCAGACAACCCCCCACCCACTGGAAAGGGAGCAGCTTAGGGAAGGCCTGAGTTCCCCAGACTGACAACTCTTGAGAGATGAAGCAAGTGCAAGAAATGGATAAGGTAACGGATCCTCAGGTTCGGAAAAGTTAAGGGACTGCAGTGCCCCTAACCACATGGCTCAAATGTGAGAAGGCCACTCCCCACACCCGACCTTCTGAGTTGGAGCTGCTACCCAGCTCTTGAGCCCTCATGCCCAACACGGCCTGGCATAGCACTGTACTTGATAAATGTGAGGTGGATAGCTGTTGTGAAGAAGCCAGGGCCCAGAGGCAAGGGGTACAGATCTAGGCCCACAGTGCAATCACAAGCTAGAGATGGAGACTGGAAACGGTAGCCTCATTGACAAATGCAGAGAGGGGAAGGCTGCCTTTTAAGACCTCAGTTCAAGGCTGAAAAGAGTAACATAGTGAAAAAAGAAAAAAGAATGAGAGTGGACGGTGGGTACCTCCCTTTTTTTCCCCCCCTTTTGACAGGACTCCTTGTCCTGGCATTTCCTTAGTGCCTGACATGGAAGGGAGCCCCCTCCACATATTCCTCTAATCTTTCGCCTCCTCAGGACTCCCTTCCACCTCTTGGGAGCTGCCAGGGGAAGACAGCACATGTGGGAAGGGCTAGGACAGGCTGCCTACCCCTGCCCCCCACAGCCCCAGCATCAAATATAGCATGAACCATTTTCCCCTCTCCCCACCATACACAGAGCTTGACTTACTAAGGGCCCCCAACTGTCCCTCAGTGGGTGGTCTGAGGACCACCTGCATCAGGAGTTCTGATTAGAAATGCAGATTCCAGGGCTAAGCTCAGACCTACTAGAACACAAACCAGGCCTTTGTATGTTTTGTTCCACGGCGTCCTCAGTGCCTGGAAAAGTGTCTTGCACAAGGGCAGCGGTCAATAAATATTTGTGGATTAAATGAATAAGCCAGAAACCTCAGGGTTAGGGGCTAGGAACCTGAATTTTTAACAAGTCTTCCAAGTGATTCAGAAGCACTGGTCTGGAACAGAGAGAGGAATTCAGAGTTGGAGGACAATAGCTCTTAACACATAGCATTGGTATTGTAATGCCCTGTGTTGACGCCTGCCCGCTCAAGGGTCCTTTGGGCTCCCAGAGGGCAGAGCCTAGGTTTTCTCATCTGTAATCCCCATCCCCAGCACCCTAGCACAGGTCCCGGCACAGAGTACACAATAAGTGTTAGTGAGTGAACAAATGAATGGAGTCACAGATTGTCTCAAGTAGAAAATCAGAAAGGAAAAGAGATGGAGAAAGCAGAGAGGCAGGGAGAATTGGGGAGGAGGATGGAAACAGGAAAAAATATCAAGGTTCAAAGGCAGGCAGCTCAGGACAGAAAAAGAAATAATAGTTTATATCTGTACTGCCTTCATCTTTTTCACACACATGACCTCAGTTAGTCTGGTTTCCCAGGTTACCAGGTATTATTAGCCCATTTTACAGATGAGGTTAAAGAGGTAGAATGATTTGCCCAAAGGTGATTCAGCTAGAAGGGCAGGTTCGAGACTGGACAGAAATAGAACGACTAATAACAACCGAGATGAAAGCAGAGTTACCGAGTGAGATTGGGAGACAGATTGAGCGCCAAAGGGGAGGCCAAGCAAGCAGAGGAGTAACCCACGCTCTTTCACAAGAGTAGAGGAGCCCCCTCCCTCCCTCTCAAGTCCGCCCGCCCCAGCTCGGAAGGGAGAGAGGCTCGGGTCACTAAGAGAGAAGCCAGGGGGGCGGGGCTCAGAGTGCAGGCCGAGGTCCCCCAGCTCCCGGCGCCGAGACCCTACAGATTGCCTTCCAGGCTGGGGTCCTCCACTCACCCCTCAACGCGTGTGGGAGGGGGTGG